CAATTTTCTGAAAATATGAAACACTTCAAAGAAAAATGTAAGAATCTAAATTCGAAAAATGTAAGAATCTAAATTCTAAAAATGAATCTTTGAAAACTAAGATTAGAATTCTAAAGTCAATTTCAGAATCATTTTCTAAAGAAAAGGCAAGTGTTTGCTATGATAGCATTTCAAAACAAAATCATATTTCTAATAAGAAAAATGTTATTCCTAATGTTGTGACTTTAGAACATCGAAAATTTGACACTCACAACAGAAAGAAAAATCATAGTAAGTTGAATACACCTATTACCACTAGTCCTCCAGGACCCAATGTGAGTTGGGTACCTAAATCTGCATGATCTTTGCAGGTGTGCCTAAGGAGTGAGCTGAAAATAGAAATGTGGTATATGGACAGCACTTGCTCTAGGCATATGACTGCAGCACTTGCTCTAGGCATATGACTGGTGACAGAAAGAAATTCACCAAATTAGAAAAGAAAAAGGGAGGTACAGTGAGCTTTGGAGACAAAACAAAAGGTAAAATCATTGGTATTGGTGTAGTAGGTTCTAATCCTTCATTAAAGGATGTATGCTTAGTAGAAGGATTACATTATAACTTATTAAGTGTGAGTCAGATTTGTGATAAACATAGAAGAGTGAATCTTTGAACCCTCTTATTGTGAAGTTCAAAACATGCATGATAACAAAACTTTATTTGTTGGAAAAAGGTCTGGGAACATATACCTAGTAGACCTTTCTGATATGCATAACCTAGACATTTGTTTGGTTTCTGTTGACAATTCTAGTTGGTTATGGCATAGAAGACTTGGACATACAAGCATGCACCTTATTTCTAAACTGTTTAAGAAAGATTTGGTTCGCGTGGTTTGCCAAGCTATTCGAAAAAAGGATCACATTTTGTGATGGTTTTGTCAAATTGGGGTAAAAAAACCACAAAGAATTCTTTCCAAATCTAAGGGAACATGGGTTTCTTACTTTCCCTAAACTTTAGACAATTTGCTAACACACCGTTGAAATTTTTATTTGGGACCTTTACCTTTTCTACTCCTTGTACAATAAGTTTTTATGCCATTTTAATTATTGTAGATGATTACTCTTAGATTTCACTTTGACAGTTCCTTCCTTAAGAAATAAAGAGTTCCATATGAACGATTTTGTTCATCTTTGCAAAGAATACAAAATGGAAGAGAAGGGTACACCATCACCTGCAATTTGAAGCCCGATTATGGGAAGAAGAATTTGAAAATCAGAATTCCGATCCATTTTGCCAAAGAGTCAAAGATCTTTTCCCATAAACTTCCCTCAAAGCACCTAAACACCTCCGGCAAAATGGAGTAGTTGGGAACGCAAGAATAGAACCACTTCAAGGAAATGGCCAGAAACCCATGCCAGTGGTTCTAAGTTAACCAAAGTATTTTCTAGGCAGAAGCCCCATTAACACTGCCTGTTATATTCCCTTAAAATAGGAACTTTTTGGTAAAGATTCTAACTGAAAAGACCCATATGAGCCTTATATAAGGTAAAGAAAAGCCCAAATAATTATTACTTTTCACACTTTTTGGGTTGGTAAAATGTTTTAATTTCTAGATAATAGAAAATCATCTTGCTATTTGGAATTGCTAAATCTTTATTGAAGGGAATTTCTTCTAGATATTCCTAGTAATAGCTTAAAGGCATATTAGGTTGTTTAATAGAAACTCAAAATGTAGAAAGAATCTATCTCATGTTGTGTTTGAATTGAATTTTGATGTTTGATGAATTTGACTCTACTTCTAGAATTTTAGAAAATGATGATGTTATAGATTTCAATCAAGAAAAGCAGAATGAACAATTAGAACAACTAGAACAGCCAAAAGATGAGCAAAACGGTGAAAATCAGGCTGAACTAGAAGATGACCATGAAGATCAGAATGCTACTAAAAGTCAAATGCCAAAAACAGAAAATGAAAATTCTTAATTACCAAAAGAATGGCAATTCCACAGGTATTATCCTCAAGAGGACATCATGGATAATCCTTCAGAAAGGATGATGATTAGAGCTCAATTTAAAAGATATTTTGGTAACATTGTTTTTGTTTCTCAATTAGAACCTAAAAACTTAAAAGATGCTCAAAATGATGAAAGTTGGATTCTTGCTATGCTAGAAGAACTAAATCAATTTGAGATAAACCAAGTTTGGAAACTTGTTTCTAGACCTAAAAATCATTCTGTTATTCGAACAAAATGGGTGTTTAGAAATAAGCTTGATGAACAAGGTAATGTTGTGAGAAATAAAGCAAGGTTAATGGCTCAAGGGTACAACCAAGAGGAAGGCATCGATTTTGATGAGACCTTTGACAACCAGAGGAAGGCCATCCGATTTTGATGAAAGAACTCTGCTCCCAGTTGCTAAGACTTGAAGGCATAGAATGCTTATACATTTGCCATGGCTTAAACTTCATGTTTATATCAAATGGATTGAAAAGTGCTTTCTAAATGGTTTTTTTAATGAGAAGTGTAATGTAGACAACCCACCCTGGGTTTTTTGAAGTCTTATGATAACCAATCATGTTTTTAACAACTTACTAAAGCTCTTTTATGGTTTGAAATAAAGCCTCCTAGAGCTTGGTATGAAAGATTAAGTTAAGTTTTTTATTAGAAATGGTTTTCTAGAGGAAAACTGATACTACACTATTTATTAAAATAGAGCACATGATAATTCTAAGTTGTGAAATATTATGTTTGATGAAACTAAATCCTCTTTTTGGGTTCTTTGGTTCTACTAATGACCTTTTTTGTAAGGAATTTTCTAAGATTATACAGGGTGAGTTTGAAATGAGTATGATAGGAGAATTAAATTTCTTCCTTGGTCTTCAAATCAAACAATGTGATAATGAAATTTTCATAAACCAAGGCAAGTATACTCGAGAATTATTGAAATGGTTCAAAATGGAGAATGCCAAGGTGTGTAGTACACTAATGAGTCCATCCACAAAATTAGAAAAAGATGAAAAGGGAAAGGATGTGGATATTAAATTTTTTAGAAGTATGATTGGTTCTTTACTATATCTAACTGTAAGTAGACCTGACATTCACTTTAGTGTTTGTTTATGTGCTAGATTTCAATCATGTCCCAAAGAATCTCATTTAATTGATGTAAAAAGAAAGATTCAGATTTCAATCATGTCCCAAAGAATCTCATTTAATTGATGTAAAAAGAATTCTAAGATATCTTTGTGAAACTTCTAATTTGGGTCTGTGGTATTCTAAATGTGATACATTTTATCTTGTTAGATATAATGATTCTGATTTTGCAGGAAGCAGAATAGATAGAAAACACACGTCTGAAACTTGACAGTTTCTAAATAGCTCCCTTATATCATGGTTTAGCAAGAAACAGACATTTGTTGCTCTTTCTACTACAGAAGCAGAATATATTGCTACTGGAAGCTGTGTTGCATAAGTTCCATGGATCAAGCAACAATTGGCAGACTATGGTTTGAAATTAGAAACAGTCTCAATTAAATGTGACAACATAAGCGCCATCAACTTACCTAAGAATCCAATCCAGCATTCTAGAACTAAGCACATAGAACTCAGACATCACTTCATATGTGATCATGTTAAAAAAGGTGATATAGTGAGTGAGTTCATCCCTACAGAAAAGCAATTGGCAGATATCTTTACTAAACCTTTAAGTGAAAGCCAATTGTGCTTAATTAAAATTGAACTCGATATGTTAGTTCTAAACTCTTAACTTTAAAACTCTGTAAGTATGTTCTAAAATGCTTTCTATATTTGAGATTGAAAGACCTGCTCTGTGTTATGTTTTGGGAGATTGAAAGACCTCTGCTCTGTGTTTTATTGTTTTTGTATTCCTTAATTTCTTATGAGACTTTGAAAAATGTTTTTGTCTAAAAAGAGATGCATAATGCTCTGATGATGAAATTCTAAATGGTCATCACATCAGATTTCTATTTTTAGACAAATTAAAAAGTAAATTTTCTTTTTTATTTGTTATTTTGTTTATTTATTCGTTTCGTGATTTATCTTATTTGTTTTGTTTGTTTAATTTTATTTGTTCCTTTATTTTATTTTATTTTTTATTTTTATTTTGGTGGCCTATTTTTCTTTATTGTGTGTTATTTGTTTTATTTGTTTCTTTATTTTATTTTATTTTATTTATTTTTGGTGGCATTTTTCTTTATTGTGTGTTATTTGTTTTATTTAAACTTTTGCTAAGTTTTTTTTTTTGTTAGTTTAGTTTTCTTTTAAAATCATTTTTATTCTTTTAGTTTCCTTCTCTATCATAATTACTCTAAATTATTTACCTTCTTCTTCGTTAACTCTTTCTCTCAACGAAACCCTAAACTTTAGTTAGTTCCAAAATCCTAATCATGACCAAATCTAGTTCCACTTCTTCCTCCTCTGATTCTTTGACTGAGAAAGAACTGCAAATTCTCAAGAAGTTAACTGAAAAATACGAAAAACAAGAATCGTGACTGAAGAAATCAACAGTGGAATCAAGTTCGGGTAAGGGAAAATCGAAAAGCAAGACAATGAAATTAAAAGGGAGAAAAGATCTCGGCTTCTCATGGCAAAGTCCGAAGAAGCTGCCCTATCGAATGGTCTTGACTCCTGTTTTTGAGATTTTAAAAGTAAAGAGAGAGTGTCATAATGTTTCAAAGTTGGACGGTAATTCTTTCAAACTGATGGATGAAGAAGAAGAAGGAAAAGAAAAAGAAAAAGTTGAGGAAGACAAAACAGAAAAAGAGAAATTAGATTTAGAAAAAAGAGGAGCTAAGAAGAAAAAGAAATTTTAAAAAAAAAAAAAGAAGAAAAGAAAAAGTAGACGAAGTAGAAAAAGAGAAAGAAAAGGAGAAAGTTGAGGATGCTAGTGATGCAGAAACAGAGAAATTAAAAATTAGTGATGAAGAGGAAAAGGAGCCTGAAATCAAAGCTAAAAAGACTTTAGAATTCCTGTCAACACAGAAGAGCAAAGAGGCTATGTTGAACAGAATGGAAAAAAATCTCATTGAAGAGCATAATAAGGAACTTGATGAGGCCATCAAGCATGGTAAGGCTGTGGTTGCAAATACTCAGTCCCTCATTGAGTCTATGGGAAGAATGAAAAATTTCAATGAGAGAAGACTAGCTACTCTAAAGGTTAAGGCTACGCCCTACACTCCTACCTTAGAGAAGCCTAAGAGAGTTAAGCACACTGCTGGAGGGCATAGAGTTCATGGCAGAAACCTCCTCTGTATCCTTCTTTTAAACGATCTAAGAGTCCAGCTGAGACTTCACCTGCACAGAATCTCAGGAGTTCCAAAAGACTTAGAACTGATTCTAAACCCCTTTGACATCTTTCTAATCTGTTCTGACTATGTTTTGTGAACTATTTTCTGTTTTTTTTTTTTTTACTTGTGTTTGCAGTTTGTTTTATTCTGCTTAGAATTTTCTAGCTTTGTTTATTTTGTTATTTCTATTTCTATTTCTATTTTTTGCTCTGATTTACTAACCCTCTTTATGATGACAAAAAGGGGAGAACACAGTACATTTGATGCTTAAGTACTTGGAGGAGAACATAACAATACAGTATATTTTTAGTACTTAATCTATTTGCTTATCATGTTCTAATCTGTGATATTCTTTATTCTAATGTCAATTTCTATAGGAACAGAATATGGTTTTATATATATGCTCTGACTGTTAGACTTTAGAACTTAGATTCAATTCTAAGGTATGCTCTGGTTATTAGAATTAAAACTCAGTTTAAATTCTAATGTCAGTTTCCATATTTGTATTCTGATTCTAAACCCCACAGACATTATATTGCACTTATTCACATGGAGTTTATAAGTTCCAATCTTGCCTCATGATAAAATTGTTATGTTTAGAACTTGAAGCTTTGTTGACATGCATAAATTTAGGGGGAGCACATGATTTTATGTTTGATAAATTTATTGGTTTTCTCATCATCAAAAAGGAGGAGATTGTTGGCTCAAGGGTCAATTGTATCTTATGATTTTGATGATCATGCAAAACAAATAAATTTAATATTTTTGTATGCGCTAATATTAATTTATGCAGAATTTTTAAATATAGAAATTGCTAAAGAAGGCAATGAATGATATGCAAAAAAATAATTTAATATTTTGTTATGCGCTAATATTAAAAATTTATTGCCAGAATTTTTAAATATAAGAAATTGCTTAAAAGAAGGCCAAGTCCCCTACAAATCAAGTATTTTTTGAAGACCATGAAAGTTATGAAGATTCCTTGTCTAGTGGTTTAAGTAATCTTAGGATTTTTTTGTTTAGGAAATAGAGAAGAAAAATAATTTCTTTAATTAGGCCCAACAAAAATATTTTTTTTTTCCTCTCTCTCAAGGGATTTTTTCCGGAAAATTACGTTAAATAATAAAAAGTCCAAAAACTTAATTTTTAATTATTTACCTTATTTTGAAAAAGATTTTGGCTTTAATTATTTTTTTGGTAACAAATACTTGAAAGAGGATATGCATTATATTTCATTCAAAAAATCTTTTTTATAAAAAGAAAATCAAATCCCTTTTATTTACTCTACTTTTCCTAAATGGAAAGATTTTTGACCTCCAAATATTTTTTTGTCACAATATTTAAAGATCTTTGTATCCTCTTTATTTTTTGAAATGTCCCAAAAATAATTCCTAACTAACATTTTATGCTTTCCTAAACCAGGATCTTCCAATCCTATAAGACGTTTTCCTCTTATGAAAATGTGGGTATTTTATTTTAAGAGTAAGAGTCCATTGATCATATGTTTTAAATCTCTCAAAGCTCTCTCCCAAAAATTCTTATTTCTTTTCATCTTTTTGCTTGACGAATTATTTTTAAAAGAGAAAAGAAAATTTTATAACAACATCTTTCGAAAAACAATTCTGATCTTTAAATCTGTTTTCTAATATTGATTTCTGTTTTTCCTTTGCTTATATTTGCATTTCTTTCTATCTATATAGATTCTGTAATCTGTTGTAGACATGCTTTTTAATTGAAAAGCTTTTATGTAATAGCTTAGGTGAAAAGCTATGGTGGTATAGGTTATCAAGCGACCTTCTCCTTGTGGTCATCGGGTTATCCAAGCGACTCGTTCTCCTTGTACTGAGAGATCTCTAATATCCTTATCGTGAGTTCTATGCGCTGTAAAAAACAGAAAGGGTTTGAAGTTGACTAGAAACCCTTTGGAAAAATCTAAGTTGGGCACCACGATTACGATCTAGGTGTTGATACTACATTTCCTTGTTTGTTGGTCTTGTCTATTACCTTCGAAAAGAGATAATATACCGTGACCCGATCTCAAACATGGAGTCTTGAGGGAGTGGATCTAGGGAGTTTAGTGCGAAGACTATACAATTTTGCTGTTTTTCTTTCTCTTTCTGAAGTTTCTGCTTGATTCAATTTTAAGCTTACACTTCCTGTTAATCTTTTTAGAAAATACAAAATGTGTTAATTCCCGGTTCTTTATTTGTTCTACAAACTCGACCACTAAGCTTTACTCTTTTAATTGACATACCTTCAGAAACCTACTGGATTTCTCGCATTGTGATTATAACAGTTCTAAAACCTGTTCTTCTATAGTTTAGTATAATATCACATTACTGAGTTTTTAATTCAGTTTTCATAGTTGCTTTAAAACTTTGCTGAAGCAGCTTTAACATTCAATAACTGTCTTCCACAAATTCTTAACATTTCGTCTAGACTTTATGCAGATAGTTCACACGATAACTTTCTTCATCAAGTGTCACTTTTTGAAATTGATTTAAGATAATTTGTGAAAGCACTGTTCCTAATCCAATAGCTGCTTTTCACCAAAAGTTCTTCTCTAATTTTTGTTTGAATTCTTTGTTAGGTAAAGTTCCCCTAATCTTGATAACTTACTCCTCCATAAACGCATTCTACCTTTTCGCTGCAATACAAACTTCTGATTTCTGTTTTCCGAAATTAAAATTTTCAATCTTTAAAAAATCTCCAACTTCACCTCCCTTCTTGGATTGTGCCATATGTATATGGACCTCCCCCCTCCCCCCACGTAATAACTTTCCTTCATAAAGTGTTTTTGAAATTGATTAAGATATTGTGAAGCAGTTCTAATCAATAGCTGCTCTTTACAAAGTCTTTCTAATTTTTGTATTGATCTTTGTTAGGAAGTTCTAATCTTGATAACTTACTCTCATAAACGCATTCTATTTCCGCTGCAATAAAATTCTGATTTTGTTTTCGAAATTAAATTTTTAATTTTTAAAAAATCCAATTCACTCCCCTCTTGGATTGTGCCATATGTATATGGACCCACAGGTGATGTGGGCTTTATAAGCTCGTTAAGGATATTTTGGTCTTTTGATAACAACTTCTTTAGGAAGTTGTTGATTAAGGGTTAGGATTAAGTTAAAGTAATTTGATCTAAGGGCCATAAAAATTCCTTAATAATCTCCTTACATATGATTATTTATCTCCACATAATATTTAAATTTACTCGATAAAAATAATTCTCCAATTTTTCTAATTAATAAAAATACTATAATTCTCTATTCACTAACTACTAAATATCTTCAAATAAATTCATAATTTAATTTCTACCCATCAAAATATTATATGCTTACTCCAAAATATAAAAATTATTAGATATGAATAATAATTTTTCCGGATTGAAAAGAAACTCAATTCCTGGCCAGGTGGTATTATTCACAGATCGGTAAATCATTATTCAAGATAAAAAAAAAAAAAAAAAAAAAAAAAAAAAAAAAAAAAAAAAATCAGAAGCGTTACATATTTCAAAAAAAAAAAAAAAAAAAAAAATCAGAGCGTTACATATTTCTTCATTAAAATTTTATTATTTGAAATATACAAAATGCTTTTTGTTGTAAAAAATTAATTTTCTTCTAAAAAAAATTTTTTTTTTTCTTAAATTTGGTTAAACTGTTGCTAAGGTAAAAGTAACTTCTTTTTTTTTAACTTATTCCTTATACCTTATATTTTTACTAACATTATTCTAAACAGCAAGATAAACAACTAAATACGATTAAATAAAACATAGTAGAAAAATATTTGAGATAAGATCAATGATGAATTTAAGAAAGAATTTTTTGATGATAATAATAACAGTTGTCTTTTAATGAGCTTCTACCGGATATATTTGTTTGACACACTGGAAAAGATATTAAAAAAAAAAGACATTTTGGAAGAGATTAGTTTACTTAGCTGTATTATTGTACTTGCTCTTTATTTTTTTTTAATGATCAGTATCTTAAAAGAAATTTTGGAGATTAATCATCTACACGACTCCATCAAAGGATTTTTATTAATTTGATTATTGTTATTTAAATGGTTGTGTAAAACAATAGAGTTTAATTGAGAAAAAAACTTAATAATATTTTACTATTTTTCAAAATAAAATGATGAATTTATTTATTTGTTTTGTTGTACCTCTCTCTCTAATCCATACTAAGGCGTGTTCGGCAATAACTTTTAAACTACTCCCTCCGTTTTATTTACATAGAGAAAATCAAAATTTCTCTAGGACGAAAGAAGTGCTTTTTTTAGATTTTTTCCTAACTTACCCCTAAAAAGATATTTAAGTGGTTCCTAAATTTCAATAAAAGAGTGGTAAATGATGAGAGATGGGATCTGTTACTTAAATGAGGAGTTTCATTTACTTTGACTCCCAACAAAAACATGGGTGCCACTATTACAACTATCCAATAAAATTTCAACCTCAAATTTGGATTGAAAAATTGGCGTGAAACTTGAAAGAAAGTTTAAACTGTAATATAAAATGTCCACATATCTTTGCTATAAGTGAGGACTAACTATTCTCTGTTTACGATACTTTAAATTGTCTATAAGGTAAAGTTAATCAGACTGAATATAAATGGGCATAACAATTTTGATTTAAGCATTGTTGTTTGAAGGGAAATTTCTTTCGTTCTGAATTTATTAGAGTTGTGTGTAGCTCTCACTATATGTACATACTTAATTATTAGGCATAGACAGACATTGTGGGTATAATTTAGACTATGCTGCAACTTTGTCAAATTTAATATGTGTGCAAAATGTGAAGAAGTTCTCATTTTCTTTTTAATGCCCCTTTTTTTTTTTTGGAATATTAATTGCTCAATTTGTCACTTTCTTAAAATTCTCCCAAAGTAAATATTTAAACTAAAAACTAAAATAAGGGCATATTTGACTTGTTACTTTGGCATTAATATGAAAGTTACCATTTAAGCAATTTTTCTTTATATAATTAGAACAGAGGAAGTACTTTTTAGCTTTTTGACCAAGTCAATACTCTGCCTCTATTAATTATAATGTTCAGTAGAATTATTTTTCTAATAGCTTTTAGGGGTTGAGGGAGCTTTTTACGAAAATGTTAAACACTATAACATGTAGCTTTTAGTGTTTAGTATTTAGCTTTTTTTTTTTTTTTTTTTTTTTACGAAAATGTTAAACACTATAAATGTCTAGCTGTTTAGTGTTAGGTATTAAGCTTTTTTTTTTTTTTTTTTTTTTTTTCTGACAATCAGAACCCTTTTTTTTTTCCTCCAAACTTAATTAAAGTAACTATTTGTTTTTTTTTTTTTTTTTTTTTTTTTTGACAATCAGACCCTTTTTTTTCCTCCAAACTAATTAAGTAACTATTGTTTTTTTTTTTTTCATTTTAAGTTAAACAATTATTTTTACCAAATACTTCCTAATTTAAACCGTCATATAAACAGTTACTAGCTAAAAGCTACTAATAGAATAGCTAACTGCTATTAAGACAGCTAACCCTAAGATTTAAATTAACTTAAATTGCACCCTAAAACATAATATAATGATAAATGAAACAAATCTAATTCCGAATCTCAATCTCCAAGCATATTCTAGTGTTAAGTTATATTTAGTCCCCTTAGCTTCTTGAGATTCTTTATTGCATTACTATACCGTATTGCTGAGAGGATTGTTTTTGTTGCTACTGTTTAATGAGATATTGGTGTTGTTTGGTTGCTAGTGAATTTTGATGGAATTGTGTGGGTTAGGTTGTGCCTTAAATTTCCAATATTAGAAAATATTCTTTACAGTTTAGGTATCGATACATGCACCCAATGCTAACAAAAGCAAGATCTGCAAGGCCCAGAGAAAAAAGAATATCAAAATTAGTCTTTAAAAAACAAGAAAAGGAAAAATAAAGTTATAGACCAACCTTGATCATAATTAGTCTGAAAAAAGCAAGAAAAGGTTTGAAAAAAATTGGTTATAGATCCACCTCAAAGGTGGGTAGCCTTAACCGAATGTGTTGGTAACAGGTAAGCCCGAAGGCTGTTCCCGTCCCTGTCAGGGGAGATGCCAACCATCTCTCCTTTCTACGAACACGTAACTCTCAGGCGTATAGCTAAATATAAAGAAGCAATGCATTCTATAAATAAGCAATGTGGGATTATGGCAGGTAGTAATATAATGGGCCCATAGTTTTGGAAAGCTTTTTGGGCTCCTGGGTAAGGCTAGACAACTTAAATTCCTGGGTGAAGCTTTTTAAAATTTGGGCCTAGCAATTACAATTGGGCTCCTAGCTAATCGGCTTATCTATAATATTTTGTTGTTGATTTCTCTTATCATTACCTTTAACTGTAACTTTGCAAAAGAAAAAAAAAAAAAAAAACATTTAAATTCCTAATTTATTGAATTCTTTTATTTATCAAGACTAAACATAACTATTTTTATTAAATTTAAGTTAGAGAATGATAATTATCCATGTTAAACATCCACTGAGTTTAACTAAGATTTCACTTTTTTTTCTGTTAAAATTAAGTTTTTATTGAAAAACTATAATCATACCCTTACATTTTACAAAAAATATATATATATTTTATCCCTATCTTTTTAAAAGTAAAAAAAAAAAAAATTTATCCCTATCTTTTTAAAAGTAAATTGCTATACACTCATATTTTAAATTCGTTACACTAGATTATTTTTATTATAATTTAGGAGAATTAATTATTTTTTTAATTCTGATGAAAAATATTAAACGATTTATATTTTCGGACAAAATGAGCATCTAATTTCATTTAAAATTTAGAGATTTTAGATATTTTTTTCCTTTATTCCAATAAATATTGTCACTTTTAGAAAATAAAAAAAAGTAGCTTTAAGTATTTTATTCTAACTGCACTTTTATATAGATATCTACACTAGATATTGTGTCAATTAAATGAGCATTAATTGAAAGGGCAAATTAGTCAATTACACTTATTTTTCTAAAAATTGAGATAAATTTAACTGGACAGGAGAAGTATAAAATAAACTAAAATCAAATAAAATAATGTCGTTAAAGCTATTTTAATATACAATTTGAGAGAAATTTTTGTTGGATTATTAATGGGTTCTCTCTAAGAGCGTTGAATAAAATTAGATTAAACTTTTTTTTTTGAAAGGGATAAAATTAAAATTACAATTAAATTTTATTTGTATATTACATAAATAATTTTTTTGTGGTTGTATTTTGTTTTAAATAACTAAGCTGAATAAATATATCATATAAAGTAAAGGTATTACTTATATATATATTCATTGCGGGTTTCCTATTATATTTTGTTATTTACTTTATAAATTAATATAATATTATTTTAAATAATATTAGTTTCTGACTATTATTCCATTTTTTTTATATTAAATTCTGAATTTTTACTGTGTGAATTAGATCCTTAAATTTTTATAAATTTCATATTAAGTATTTTGTTTTACCTTTTTTTATTTATGAAAATTTATTAAATCTATACAAAATATTTATTTTATACTTCTAAACATTGGATTTTCAAATATTAAGTAAAATCTTTTAGGTTATTTAAAAATAATTTATCACAATATTTTACTTTTCTATTAAAGAATTCTACGAAGTAAATAAAAATCTAAAAATAAATAATTACTATTATGTGGTTATTAATATAATAGACTAAAAGATAATACTAATAATCATTAATGATTTTATTTGAATATATAAGGGTGTAATTAATATGTAAGCGAATTGGATTTCTAGCATAAGACATTAAAAAAAAAAAAAAATCTACATATCTATATAAAAGCTCAAAGTTCAATATTTGTCTTTGTTTAGTATTGTATTTTTCTTTTTTTAGAAATTTTTAAAATTTTTATTTTTTTATGCCGTGATTGGACAATTTCAGTATTTTGATTAATATTTTATTATAAATTTTCTATATCAAATTATTTAAATTACTTAACTTTATCTATGTCTAATTATCTACCACGAAATAGAGTTTGAGTTATTTACATTATATACTCTACCTAAAACATTAATTTTAGGTATAGTATATAATTACACTTTCCATATAACATTACACTTCTGCTGATTGTACACTTCTAGTGATTGTTATCTCATTCATAGTAATTGACACTACTTTTATTTAGCTTTTAATTTTTAATTTTTTTATTTTTAATATTTTGACTGGATGCTTTAATTTTTTAATTTAAAAAATAATTAACATTTAGTAATAATAATGATTCATCCAATTAATCTATTAAGCTATACATTTTATAGTTAATAGATATAGATATTCTTAATTTTTAATTTTTTTTTAAATTTTTATTCACAATTATATACTACTCTATATAGAGCTGTCTCCATCTTTGTTACGAGCTCTATTTTTTTATTTAGATATTGAGAGAAAGAGATGCGGAATACGCATGGAGAAAGAGGCAATAGGTAAGACTTTTTATTTAGTTTCGTTTGTTTGCTTGATAGTTTTTTTCCTTTGAAAATTCTTCTTCAGCTCAATTTATATAAAAAAATTTAATTAGAATATTTTTTTTCTTTGTCAATACTGTATATATTTATATTAGTAACGAGGAGATAGTATTTAACACGCCTTAATAGTATTTATAGTATTTTATAATTGATAGATATGGATATTTGCAACTGAAATTTTTTGACATATTAATACTTATTTACATCTAAAACTCAAAATATTGTTTTTGAAACAATAATTGTAGTTAATGCATTTTAGTAGAATAGAAAAAATAAAACTTGTACTGTTAGGCCACCTAAAAAGATTTTTAACTTAAAATAAAAAAAAAAGGTAAATTAATGTTTCAATGAATAGTGAATGAAAATAAATTTAATTTTATGATTTATGAGAAGTTTCATGAGGAATAGAAAGAAGCCATATTAATATAAAGCAACTCTTGTCTACACTCCCTTTTATTAAAAAAATTTAAACAAATCAAAAAGAAAATTAATTTTTTAATAATATACGTGTCAATAGCTAAACAACTTAAAATATTATATATGGATAGAATTGTCAAATCACTGTTCCATGAACAGTGATTTTTTATTTCATTTTAATCTATATATATAGTTTTCCACGCATGATGATGCTTAATTGAGTTTCTAATTTTTATCTAGAATTCTATGCTTGGTAAGCTTGAGAAGAAATTAATTGGTTTTTTAAGTAATAAATAAATTAATACAAGAATTTTACATCTATTAATATCTTAGACTTTTGAGTTGACTCCTTAAATTTTTGGAACAAAGCACAATTTGTCCTTGAAATTTTGGAGCAATATTCAATTTGTTCAAAATTAACTTTTCATAAATTTACATCCTAAATTTGCAGTAAAAGAACAAAAAGTCTAATTTTTCATTAAAAATAGTTTAAATATTTTCAACAGATGAAAATTATTTACCAATTAGAAAACTAATTATAAAAAAATTATAGTGTCTTATCATTGATTTAAAAAATAATTAAAAGAAATATTTGATTTAAATAAAAATTATAGAATTAAAAAAATGTTTGGTTATATGAATATTTGATTTAAAAAATACTTATCATTTTTTATTTGATTATTTCTTAATTGTATTTATCTAAATAAATATTTCATTTTTTAATTATATTTTTATTTAAATTAAAATTCTTTTGAGTAATAAGATGGATTTTTTTATTCTTTTGATACAAATTCAGGGGGTAAATTATACAAAAAAAAGATTATTTTTAAGCAAATTGAATATTACTCCCAAATTTAGAGGCTTTATTCCTAAATTTTTCAATAAAATTATCTTTATTTAACACCTCAATTTGTAAATCCAAACTATTTATCTATCTATATAAATTTATAAAAATTGAAGCATATTTGATGATGTGTCACATTGTTGAAAAACTTAATTGATGATTCGGCATTTTATTATTTCTTAAATTTTTTTATTTTTTTATTTAACTTTCTAATTTTAAAAAATTAAATTATAAAACTCTTCATTTTCTTTTTTCAATAATTAATCTCATATATTAAATTTGCATTAATGAACAACTCTTTTTTTTTTTTTTTGCAATTATGAATAATTCAAACAATAAATTATTGCATTATTAATAAAACTCTTTATTTTTTTCATTTTAAAGAATTATGAGTATTATGTTATTTGTTTGTATGCCTATTTAATAGCATTTAAACTTTAATTTTGAGATTCTCTTATTTATGATTACTTGGATACGTTCTTTGGTCTATCAAATTTTTATTTTCTCTTCCGTATTATTATGTATCTTCATTTTTAATATCAATAACAGTTTTTGTTTTTCAGATTCTCATATATAGTTATTTGTATAATTAACTTCTTTTGTCTACTGATTTTTGAGCTCCTAATTTCTATTGTTATGTCTCTTTATATTTCTACTATATTGTAATAAACAAATAAAGTCATAACCTCATATGTTTTATACTCTCTACGTATGTATGAACTTAACCTTATTTCAAATACTAGCATTCAAGAAACCAAATATGCAAGCCAAAGAGAGTGTTTTCTTTTCTTTTTTTTTTTTTTTTTTCATATTTTATATTTTCTCTCCCGTATTATTATGTATCTTCATTTTAATATCATAACATTTTTTTTGGTTTTTCAAATTTCTCAATATATGTTATTGTATTACATTAACCTTCTTTTGTCTACTGATTTTTGAGTCCGCTAATTCCTATTGTTATTCTTTATATACTTTCTACTATATTGTAATAAACAATAGAAGTCATAGACTCACATACTGTTTTATACTCTCATAACGTATCGTATGAACTTACCCTATTCAAATACTAGCATTCAAGCAAACCAAATAATGCCAGCAAAAGAGAGTGTTTTCCTTTTCCTTTTTTTTTTTTTTTTATATATTACTCTTTTTTTTTTGACCATCGCAGTACGACTTATTTTTTTTTTTTTTTTTTACTTTTTTTTTTTTGACCATGCTACGACTTAAATTAATAAAAGAGAAAGAAGAAGTAATGAATATTGTAGGATGAGCCTATTATATATGTAAAGTATGTAACTTTTTATTTGTATTTTCCTTTTTTTTTATATGTACATTCAGATATTGATATATGTT